CCCGCTGCAGACGCTTCACATGGACGTGTGGGGCCCGGCCCGCGTCCGTGGACAGGGTCACGAGCGCTACTTCCTACTGGTGGTTGACGACTACTCGCGTTACACCACAGTCTTCCCCTTGCGCAGCAAGGGTGATGTCACTGAGGTGTTGATCGACTGGATCCGCGCAGCTCGTCTCCAGCTCAGGCAGAGCTTCGGCTCGGACTTTCCTGTTCTGCGTCTGCACTCTGACAGAGGTGGAGAGTTCTCCTCTGGCCTTCTGCGAGCCTACTGTCGTGCACGAGGCATCCGCCAGACCTTCACGCTTCCGGACTCTCCACAGCAAAATGGGATTGCTGAGCGCCGCATTGGCATGGTCATGGACGTCGCCCGTACGTCCATGATGCATGCGGCTGCCCCCCATTTTCTGTGGCCGTTTGCGGTTCGGTACGCGGCGCATCAGATCAACCTTCACCCCAGGGTCTCCATGCCGGAGACCTCCCCAGCTTTGCTGTGGACGGGGAAGGTTGGCGATGCGTCTGCGTTCCGTGTCTGGGGATCTCGGGCGTTTGTCCGCGACTTGTCTGCGGACAAGCTGTCCCCTCGTGCTGCTCCTTGCGTCTTCCTTGGCTTCCCCCCTGACGCGCCAGGGTGGCAGTTCTACCACCCCACCTCTCGCCGTGTTCTGTCCTCCCAGGACGTCACGTTTGACGAGTCGGTCCCCTACTACCGCCTCTTCCCCTACCGCACTCCGTCCCTCCCCCCGCCACCGCTCTTCCTTGTGCCAGGCCCCCCCCCGGTAGACCCCCTCCCCCCTCAGGGTCCTGCCCCTTCAGGTGTGTCCCAGGTAGACGCCGTCGAGCCTGTCGAGGTTACTGGTGACTCTGGTGCTGTTGAGGGTGCTGAGCCTGGGGGTGCTGACTCTGGGGGTGCTGAGCGTGTGGGTGCTACGCCTGGGGGTGCTGAGCCTGAGGGTGCTACTCCCGGGGGTGCTGAGCCTGGGGGTGCTGAGCCTGGGGGTGCTGAGCCTGGGGGTGCTGAGCCTGGGGGTGCTGAGCCTGGGGGTGCTACGCCTGGAGGTGCTGAGCCTGGGGGTGCGGAGCCTGAGGGAGCTGGGACTGCTCGTGTGGCGTCTGGCGGTGCTGAGCCTGGAGGTTCTCCGGGTGCTTCGTCTCGGCGGGAGCCACTCTCTCCACAGGAGCAGCGAGAGTGGTTTGCCCGGCGCTGGAGGCATGCTGCTGAAGCTGGAGGTTCTTCGGCTGCTGAGGGTGCTGGTGCCGCGGGTCCCGGAGGTGCTCATACTGGGAGTACTGGAGCTGCTGGGCCTGCGGGTACAACTGGAGCTGGAGCTGCTGAGGGTGTTGGCGCTGAGGCTACTACTGTCGGTCCCGGAGGCGGTCCTGCTGGGGGTGCTACTGGTGCTGCTGGAGGTACTGGAGCTGGAGGTGCTGCTGGCGCTGGTGCTGCCGCTGGGGGTATTGGTGCTGTCCCTGCTGTGTCTGGAGTCGCCGCGCGGCCTCGGCCGTACTTCGTTCCGCTCCTTCAGCAGGCTCTTGGTCTCCCGCCTTCTACTGGTCCTCCTCCTCCCTTAGAGTGTCCACAGCCTGTCCCGTCACAGTTACAGTTACAGCCGGCCTCCCCACTGCCCGCTCCTTCTCCCTACACTGGTCCTACTGGAGGTCTGGCTGAGCGTCGTGAGCCTGCGTCTCGCCCTGCGTCGCCTGTCCGTCTTGCTCGCACTAGTGGTCGTGGTTCGCGTCAGCGTCCTCCTCCTATCCCTGGCACGCAGCGGATGTCTCTGCGTCCGTCCACTGCTCCTCTGCGTGCCCCTTTGCCTTCTCCTCCTGAGTCCTCTCTTCCTGCTCTTCCCGACCCGGAGTCGGACTCTCTTCGTGCTGCCAGTCCTACTGTCACGCGTCTCCTTGCTACTGTCGTCACTGACCCTTCCTTTGAGTCCTCTGTTGCGTCTGCCCTAGTTGCTGAGCTCGTCGACTTTGCTGCTCGCTGTCGTCTAGACTACGTTGCTAGTCTTGTCGTTGAGTCTGAGTCTGTCTATCCTCCGTCCGTCGGGGGTGAGTGTGCCCTTGGCACGGACGTCCTTGAGGACAGGCAGGAGGAGTTCCAGTGTTTGGCTGCTGCTTCACCTCATCTCGTGTCCGTACTGCTTACCCCTGAGGGAGACCCGGATGCACTTGACATCCCGACTCCGCGCTCTTACGCGGAGGCAATAGAGGGTCCCTACTTCTCTCAGTGGCAGGCAGCTATGGACACAGAGATGGCTTCCTGGAAGTCCACAGGCACCTACGTTGACGAGGTTCCCCCGCCTGGGGCGAACATCGTCAGTGGCATGTGGATTTTCAGGGTGAAGCGACCGCCGGGTTCTCCGCCTGTCTTCAAGGCGCGTTACGTGGCTCGTGGCTTCAGTCAGCGGCAGGGAGTTGACTACTTTCAGACCTTCTCTCCCACCCCGAAGATGACCACTCTTCGGGTACTGCTGCACATAGCTGCTCACCGCGACTACGAGCTGCACTCTCTTGACTTCAGCACTGCTTTCTTGCAGGGCAGCCTGCACGAGGAGATCTGGCTGCGTCGCCCACCTGGCTTCACTGGGTCTTTTCCTCCTGGCACCCAGTGGAGCCTCCGGCGGCCAGTCTACGGTCTCCGCCAGGCACCGCGTGAGTGGCACGACACACTCAGGACTACACTTGCGGCTCTTGGGTTTGCTCCCTCTACTGCCGACCCGTCGCTGTTTCTGCGCACCGACACTTCTTTGCCGCCGTTCTACATCCTCGTGTACGTCGACGACTTGGTCTTTGCCACAGCTGACACTGCTGGACTCGCCCACGTGAAGTCCGAGCTGCAGAAGAGACACACGTGCACAGACCTGGGTGAACTGCGCAGCTACCTTGGCTTGCAGATCACCCGGGACAGAGCACGCCGCACCATTACCCTGACTCAGTCACACATGGTGCAGCAGGTCCTTCAGCGCTTCGGCTTCACGTACTCCTCGCCTCAGGCCACTCCTCTGCCTACTCGCCACTCGCTCTCAGCTCTGCCTTCGGATGAGTCCGTAGAGTCGAGTGGCCCGTACCCAGAGCTTGTTGGCTGCCTCATGTACCTGATGACCTGCACACGACCTGACCTCGCATACCCTCTTAGCATTCTCGCACGCTATGTTGCTCCTGGGAGACACAGACCGGAGCACATGGCTGCAGCGAAGAGGGTGTTGCGTTACTTGTGCAGTACGTCGGGCATGGGGCTTGTGCTTGGAGGGCAGAGTCCAGTGGTCCTCACTGGGCACGCAGACGCTTCTTGGGCTGACGACCAGGCTACGCAGCGGTCGTCACAGGGTTACACCTTCAGCCTTGGTTCCGGCTCTGTTTCGTGGCGGGCTACCCGCTCGTCTTCTGTTCTCGGCTCCAGTTGTGAGGCTGAGATCTACGCCGGGGCCATGGCTGCACAGGAGCTTCGCTGGCTCACCTACCTGCTGACTGACCTCGGAGAGCCGCCTCGTTCTCCTCCAGTGCTGTACGTAGACAACAAGGCCATGCTGGCCTTGTGTCGAGAGCAGAGACTGGAGCACAGAACGAAGCACATTGCTCTCCGCTACTTCCTTGCTCGTGAGCTACAGCAGCGTGGTCAGCTGCGGCTTGCGTACGTGGCCTCTCAGGCCAACACTGCTGATATCTTCACCAAGGCACTTGCGCCTTGTGATCATCAGCGCTTCTGTACTCAGCTGGGTCTTGTGCCTACCTTGCCTCACTTGCTCACCCCTTGACCTTGTTTGTACTGTTGCATATATACATATACACCTGCTCTTGCTTGTCTAGCCTTATATATATATGTAATCCTGCATGTGAACTGGCCTTGTGGCCTTGAACTTGTGCTCGGAATGTGTGGTGACTTTGTGATCCACCCTGAGCTTGCTTTGCTTTGCTTGACTGGTCTTGTGACCCCTTGTTCTCCCCCACTTTGCCTATGGGGGTGTGTCAGATTTATATGACATAGCTACTGTAGGCTATAGTGGGGTAGCACATATGGGGTACAGTTTTCTAGGGTTTACATTTGTACCCAACTTTCCCCTAGTCAATCCATTCTCGTTCAGTTTCTCACGCGTTGAGCAGGGACGCGAAGTAAGGAAAAAGATATTTTCCTTACAAACTCTCATAATGAACCCTGAATTTCAGAGTTCCCTAGAAAACAGCTCTGGAAATCAGAGTAGTGAAAATCCAAAAAAAAGCCCTGCTCTTCACATGCTATGCTACCCTGCCAGGCAGGTTGAGTTGTTGCCTGCACACACTGCTAATGAGACATGCAGTGTACAATCATATGCAGTGTATGAAGCTTATGTGCTGCACGGTGCCTATGAAATGCATCAATGTGAATCATCACTACTACTAAACCATATGTGACTTCTCCAATGATGTGAACCCTACGATCATTTGCATGAATCATATACGGTCACAATTGGATGTTGACGATAGTGGGGAATAATTTGAGAAAAAATAGTCAATGTGGTTCATATTCTGCTGTATGACACGTTCATGTATTGAAGGTAATGTGCATGTTTATACTGGCAATATGGATCATACCATTTATTTTTAGGGTTTGGTGTTGGTGTACGTTTTATAATCAACAGCAAACATCAGTATCTCATCTCAGGCGTTTCGTCAAAACTTTCGCTCGGTAACTGTTTCGTGCGCTGCAATCCTGAGCATGAGTTTTTCCAACACGCGATTGTGTCAATGCCAAGCAGGTTGCCCGAGTGGTCTCAAACGAATCCTACGTGCGGCGAGTAATTGGTTTTCGCATTCCATCGACTCCTCCCATTGGCTGGGCGAATCGACGTTATCCAGCACTGGCTCGCTGCTGGTGACCCCCCCAATCTCCTCCCGCCACTCCTTGTTTCCCCTTCCACCTCGCTGCTCCCATCAGCCCTCCAGGATATCCCTTTCTCCTCCGACCTTCAGCAGTGCTGTCTGTGTCTGACCCTAGAATCCACATTCTCGGACTCTGACGCCATGGCCGCCGTTGCTACCCGTGCCCTCGCCTCCGCGCCGGTTGCCCTCGAGGCTACCCGCCAACGCCTTGTCGCCGGCAAGGCTCTGCGCTCCGCTGTCCCTGCCGTCACTGCTGTGCGCGGCCAGAGGCTCGTTGCTCGTGCAAGCCTTGAGAAGGTGAAAAGTTGTTCACATTAGCTCAGAGTTTACGAACCACAACGCCTGCTGTTCTTGTTCCTCCATAGATAACGAACGTATAGCTGACATTGTTACCCTCGCATTCCCCGCATGTTTTTTGCAGCCCACTCGCCAGACCTACTTCGCCTCCCCCCAGTCCCTGAGCTACCTCGATGGGACCCTCCCCGGCGACTTCGGCTTCGACCCCCTTGGCCTGTCCGACCCTGAGGGTGCTGGCAACTTTATCGACCCCAAGTGGCTCACCTATGGCGAGCTGATCAACGGCCGCTGGGCTATGCTCGGTGTTGCCGGCATGATCGCTCCCGAGATCCTCGGCAGCTATGGCATTGGCCCCAAGATTGTGTGGTTCCAGTCCGGTGTGATCCCTCCTCTTGGCGGCTACGAGTACTGGGCCGATCCCTATGCTCTGTTCGTCCTCGAGATCGTCCTCATCGGCTTCGCCGAGCACAGAAGAGCTCAGGACTACTACAGTAAGCTCCCTCTTCCCACGGTCCAACCGTCTTCTCTTGTACATTTACCACTTACTCCCCCTGTTCCAGTATACGGTATACCAGTACTCACACTTTTTTGCTTTTTTGAATTGCAGAGCCCGGCTATGGCTCCAAGCAGTACCTGCTGGGTCTTGAGAAGGTTCTCGGCGGCTCTGGCGACCCCATCTACCCCGGTGGCCCGGTCTTCAACTTCGCTGGCCTGGGCAAGACCGAGGCTGAGATGCACACCTACAAGACCAAGGAGGTCAGGAACTCCCGCCTTGCCATGCTCGCTGCCCTCGGCTTCTTCTTCCAGGCGTGGATCACCGGCGTGGGCCCGTACCAGAACCTGCTCGACCACTTGGCCGACCCTGTGAACAACAACATCCTCACCAACCTCAAGCTGCACTAAGCTGTTTATTCTCAATATAAATGTAAAGATGCGAGATTTATCAATTACAAACTCAAAATTGTGCATTAATTACGTAGTACGGTCTGCGACAACTGGATGCCAACGAGCCCATCTTCCATGCCTTCTCAATTACTACTGGGAAGGAATGTCAGACATCTAATATCATGGAATGCCACGGAACAAATTTATTGAACGTTCATTTACACAATTCAACAAGCTCGTCTATCATTCAAGTGAATTACAATTTTCCGGTAGAACTAGCGTGTCTGTCAGCCCCATCATACCTCGTCCTCAAAATTCTGACCCACAAGCTTGCTGCTAATAATGGCGTCAATTGGCGCACTGTCAACCACTCCTACGACACTCCGTCCAGTGCAGCTCGGTTATAGAACGAGCAGGATTCCACTCCAAGCATGCAGAGGGCCAAGAATAGTCGCCAAAGCAAGCTCGAATAAGGTAAGGCTGCATGCAAGCACGACTAGGAGTTACGCTGCATCACAAACAGGGTGCCTAATGCCCGTCCTCACTAAGCGGCCGTGCAGGATGATCGGCCAACCTGGTTCGCTTCGTCTCAGTCGTTGACTTACCTTGACGGAAGGTCAGTCCCCTTTTGCCCGCATGGAATCGGCGTTGCTCCTTCTGTCTGTGCGTACTGTTAGACCGAGTGCATATCTTCCCTCACGTGCGTCTGACCCTACGAGCCGCCTCCATTGCGCCATCGCAGCCTGCCAGGCGACTACGGATTCGATCCGCTCGGCCTGTCGGACCCGGAGGGGGCGGGCGCGTTCGTGTCGCCGCGATGGCTGGCGTACGCGGAGGTGGTGCACGCGCGCTGGGCCATGCTGGGCGCACTGGGGATGATCGCGCCGGAGATGCTGGGCGATGTGGGCGTCATCCCCGCGCGCACGGGCGTCGAGTGGTTCCGCTCGGGCGTCATTCCGCCGATCGGCGCGTTCGACTACTGGGCTGACCCTTACACGCTCTTCGTGGCGCAGGCGGCGCTGCTGGCATTTACGGAGCACCGACGCGCGCAGGATTACTACGGTGAGTCGCAGCCGCGCGGAGTAAACATGCTTGCAGCTCCGCAGTCAAGCATTGTGCTTTCGTGCCGTGCCAGTATAGACTCGTTTGATGCACCCTTGGCGTCCGCTGGGTATGATCATCCTCATGCGTAGCTCATGCCACGCCGTCCTCCTTCCATCTCGTGCCGCGCGCCCTGGCAGCGCCAGGCTACGGCGCGACGACCCCGTTCTTCGGCCTCGAGCGGCTGCTGGGCGGCTCCAAGCGCCCCGCGTATCCCGGCGGGCCGTTCTTCAACTTCGCGCGGCTCGGGCGCTCCAAGGCGGAGATGCGCGCGCTGCGCACGGCGGAGTTGAAGCACGGGCGCGTGGCGATGGCGGCGTGCGCGGGGTGCTTCGCGCAGGCGGTGGTGACGGGGAGCGGGCCGTGGCGCAACGTGGTGGAGCACGTGGCGGACCCCGCGGGGAACAACCTGCTGGCGCTCGTGGGGCTGCTGTGACGCGCGCACGCGCGCATGGCGAGCGCCCGCGCTGCATTGCGGTGCCTGCTGCGGCGAGAACGGCAGACGCGTGTTGGAGGTGCCTCCATCTGTACTCAATGCTCATCCATAAGTTTCGAGCTGGATGGAGTTGGACAGTAAAGGGGACAACCCCGAGCAGCCATGGTGTATTCACATAGGGACTGAAGGAACATGAGCTCTACAATGTGTTGTCTTTGATCTTTGGCTACGGTATACACCTTTGATGAATCTAGTGTATCTACAGCAAGCAGTGGCACTAGTCCTTGCGCAGGTCCATGATCTCCCGCCGCACACCGTTCTTGTCAATGACCACAATCTCCAATGCATCGCCCTGCACAACCCCCCCCCCCCCCCCCCCCCCCACCCACACACACACACATAGACATACACATACATGAACGCATGCAGCGATCAGCAAAGCGGGTGCAGAGAAGAAGAAACATGAACTGATCGCACATAGAGGTTCCATTGACACACAGAGGGGTGGGAAGGGGAGGAGAGAGGAAGAAACAGCAGACGAGCGAACTAAAGGGTGAATGATTGCAAGGGCAGAGGGAGGGGGCCACGCACGGTGTAGATGTCGCGCTCTGCAGCGGAGGCAAAAGAGGGGCTCTTTAAACGACTAGGGGGGCAGGGGGGGGGCAGGGGGCAGGGCACGCACAGTGTAGATGTCGCGCTCTGCAGCGGAGGCGAAGGTGTCCTTGATGAGGTCCACCGCCTCCTCCTGTGATAGCTTCGTTGCCAGTGGCTGCACGGCACAGCACACAGAGGGTATAAGGCAGAGCGCACATGCAGACACACAGAAGAGTTGAGAGGATACTTCTGCTGTGTTACAAGCACAGATGAACGAGCATATTGGAGGGCACGACACAGCATAGTAAGCACACACCCAAGCCAGCATCTATCCCTGCGGCCGTGCGGTGCAGTGCGCACCTGGGGCGGCAGCACGAGGGGGTTGGCGGCTTTGAGCTGGGAGTCGAGCACGGGCACGACGAGCTGCTGCCCCGTGCCGTGCACCACGTACCCCAGGCGCTCGTGCGACCCCACCGCATCGTACCCATACACACACCCCACTCCTGGTGGTGCGCGCACCAAGGGGATGGTGGTGATGGGGCAATGGAGTGGGGGGATGAGGAGGCTTTGAGCATTTTCAAAAAACAGCATGCAGCGCACGTGGTGTGCATGGCATGGTCGCACGGCATGGCATGGAGCATGGTGCATGCGGCATGGGCAGCAAGGCCCGTGCCATGCACCACACACCCCAGCCTCTCATGCGACCCCACCGCATCGTACCCATACACAGACACAACACCTGGTGATGCACTCAAGGGGGCGGAGGGGGATTGTGACGAGGGAGTGGAGTGGGGGAGATGAGAAGAGGGGTTAAGTGGCTATGATGCGGCAAAGCAAGCCCCGTGCCATGCACCACGTAGCCCAGCCTCTCGTGTGACCGCACCGCACCGTACCCGTTCACACACCCCACTCCTGGTGGTGCGCGCGCCAAAGGGGAGGTGGTGACGAGGGCATGCAGTGAGGGAGTTGAGGAGAAACGAAGCGTTAAGTGCCTTTGAGAGCCACAAAAAGAGACAACCATGATAAGAGCAGTGTGCAGCAAACATGGAGTGCATGGCATGGGATGTGGCATGGTGCATGCAGCATGGCAGCAACCAAGGTTTGGGCAGCTCACCATTAACATCCAATCCAGCGAGGGCGTTGAAGGTGTAGTAAGGGAAGAAGCGCTTGTAGTAGAGCGTGTTGGCCAGCAGCTGCGCCATCGCCTCGCACCCCATCTCCTCGTTGTGCTGCTGCTGGTACACCTGCCACACGCAGGGTTGGGGGAGGGGAGAGGGGTAACAGGGCGGGGAGTGTTGGGGTTGGGGGTTGAGGGAAAATGAGGGAGGTATAAGCAAAGTCAGGTCTGGAAGATGTTTCCTTGCACACCGCAAAGCCCAGATTCAGGGGACTCGTGTGCCCCACTGCCACGCAGCAAGCAGCCTCTGTAGTATCATCAGCCTCCGCCCCCCATGCTTGCCCCCATGCGCGCCCATGTCGGGAGTGGAGCACCCATCGTTGCCATGCCTGCCCTCCCCTCCCTAACATGCCTCCCCACCCACCGCACACCACGCGCACCGCATGGTGCAGTACAAGTGCAGCACTTTCTGCAGCATCAACCTTTCCACCCCATGCCCAGCCCCTCCTGCCCGCCCCCCATGCCCTTCCCGACCCCCATGTCCGACCACCCATGTCCGCCCCACCATGCCCGCTCCCCACATGTCCGGCCCCCCATGCGCACCTCATGCCGCTGGTGCAGCACCTTCTGCAGCATGCGCCGGTCCGCCTGGAAGCCCGAGCTCACCAGCACACAGCGGTCCGAGCTGGCGGGCAGGGGGCGCGCGGAGAGGGGTGGTGGGAGAGGGGAGGGGAAGGCGCAGGGCAATTGGGGTGAGGGGGGAAGCCCGGGCTCACCAGCACACAGCGGTCCGAGCTGCGGGGGCATGGGCGCGCGGAAAGGTGTGGGGGTGGGTGGGTGGGAGAGGAAAAGGGGAGGCGCAGGGCAAGTGGGGTGGGAGCGGGGACGGGGAATGCGCAGCACAACGGAGGTTACGGGGGAAGGGTGCAGCGCATGAGGGGTTGGGAGGAAGGCGCAAGGCAAAGGGGGCGAGAAGGGACGCTGAGAGGCAACAGAGGCAGAGAAAGGAACAAGAGAGGCTGATGTTTTTTGAGAATTCTCAAAAAACAAGAGAGGCTGCACTCCACAGCCCCGCGACACCCCGCTGGCCAACGGAGTCGCCGTGGGACCAGACCAACAGGCGAACAGGGAGTGACGGGGAGAGGGGGGTGAGGAAGGTAGGGGAGGAGAGAGAGGGTGGTGGGGATAAGGGCGACGTGGGCGGAGGAGCAATAGGAACGGGGAGAAGGAGATGAGCGATAGAGGTCGGGGGGCGGGAGAGCAGGGAGCGGGGCGGACATGCGGAAGATCTTGGAGGCGGAGCGCGTGTAGATGCTGTAGCCCGTGGACAGGCGCGTGTCGCCCGCCACTATCGCGAAGTCGCTCCCCGCCACCGCCATACTCGTGCTGCGGGTGGGGGAGGTGGGGGTGGGGGGACGGGCGGACGGGGGGAAGGGCGAATTGGGCGGTTGGGCGACGGGGGAAAGGGCGGAGAGGAGGATGGGCGGATCGGCAGGTACGGTGGATGGGCGGATGAACGGATGGTTCGGGTGCGGGAAGCGCGGAAGGAAGGATGGGCGGATGGGACGGACGGGCGTAGGGGGGGGGGGGGGGGGGGGGGATGGACGGATGGGCGGATGGGCGGATGGGCGGATGGGGCAGACAGGGAGGATGGCGAATTGGAACAGGGTCGGAATGTATGAACTTGGATCGGCACTTCCAAGAAGGTGCGCGCGAGAGGAGCTGGCAAATGGACGATTAGAGCGCAAGCGGAGCGCCCCCATCACCCTGCAGCAAGTGGCTCGCATACGAGCGGAGCGCATAGTCGGCTGCCGTACGGCCGCAACGGCGACAACTCCAAGGACCACCCGCTTCTACCGCGGAAATCTCGCAGTCCTACACCGTACAAACGCAGCAGGGATCGATATTTCGCGAATTCTCATCGCGAATGGTAAAGGTGTAAGCCTCGGGATCTTACCCGCCGTTGTTGTCGTACGGGCTCCAGTGCGCCATGATGCGCTCCGCGGCGCCGCTACAGTCTGCAGAGTGTTTGCCTGTTTGCGGTTCAGCTGAAACGCGAGCTTCGCTGAACAAAGCTTTTCGTGTTGCGATGGAGATTAGGCGACGGTAGTTACGTACGGCGGGAAGAGGAGGTAATCGGTCTAGCTAGTCGAGGGAATTAGCAGACTGATGTGGATGCGGGCGATAGAGGGATCTGGGATGCTGGGTTGAGCCTCTTTCACATTCATTCTCGCTACAAACACTTTCAACTTGGGTGCTTCTTTGTCCCTGCAGCCCTTTGCATAAGCAACACGTTCTTGAAGATGAAGATGTCTAGCATTAGCCACTGAAATTGATGGAATTATTGAATATGCGTTACTCTGGAGGAGCTTCATGGCCAAGCTAATATATAGTATTGCCATGCATTTTCGCTTGCCAAGACGGATGTAAGCAGTGCCATTCCGAGCTATAGTTATTGCAATGTACTTATCGCAGAGGTCTATTTCGCGAATAGCACCGACCAGAAGGTTCTGCGTCTCGCCTGCTCCGGGCTTGGCCGTGCGAGGCAGCATTGACCACACAGCGGGGCTTTTCGCGCTTCCTCTCAGTCGCGCACAGCCGAAAGCAAAGGCTGGCCTGGCTGGCAGTTAAGCGGCGGTTTGGTTCGGTTGAGTGCGAGGAGGAAGAGTGAGAGTGCGAGCAAGACCATCACCACGCCCATGATCATGAGAGCGTGTCAGCCCAGCAGACACAGCAACACCCAACCTGACCAAACCTCTCAGCTTTCACCGCGTCTTGGCGGCCCAACAGTACAGTCCGATGAAGCGTCTATGGCGCCGTGGGTAGCGACGATAGTTATTTAAATGTGCGTGCGCCATGACGTCATGCTCGTCGTGTGCTTCACCTCACTCAGCTTCCATCCAATCCCGCGGATCGCCGCATTACAGCACGATGTTAGGTTATGCCGCCTCTGCTGCCATCTGTTACCGCTTAGTCAATCGACTTAGGTAGCTAGTGTTCTATTTATACCATTAAGTACGACGTAGCTATTGAAAATAGTAACTTGACTTTAAAAGCATTAGCTTTTAGCGGATCAGCCAGCTCTGAAACGGAAGCACCCAACGCGCGGCATGCTCTAGCCATCCGTGCCTGCGCCGTTCTCACTCGTACGCAGCGGGTGTGCCGTCGTACCCGTTATAGATTCGCTCGTTATCGCGATGGGGTGCGCCGTGTCGGTGGAGGTGGCCGGCAAGGACGACGCGGGGGGGCATAGCAACCACGCAGTTTCGCAGAAGCCGACAGGGAAATCCGTTACAGTGCAAGGTACTGTAAGACGTCGCGGCGCGAGTGATATAAACAGCGTATGGACGCGAGAGGGGGGGGGAAGGGTGCAGCGAGAGGCATATGCGGCTGCCATTTCCGTCATTCGGTCGTCGTCTCGCTGCTGACTGCGCTCTCGTGTTTCCCTCTCTCTCGTGTGCTTGACCGTGCCATCTCCCGTCCCAACCTCTGCCCCCTCACCTTCTCCCTGCGTGCCGCCCATCATGCCCCCCCGCCCATCATCCCCCCCCGCCCATCATGCCCCCCCGCCCATCATCCCCCCCCGCCCATCATGCACCCCCGCCCATCACCCCCCCCCGCCCAACATGCCCCCCCGCCCATCATGCCCCCCCGCCCATCATGCCCCCCCGCCAGAATCGCAAATGACAGCCACGACGGAGGTCGACGCGCGCCCGACGGACGCGGTCGAGTCGACGGCGACGGAGGGCGCGCGGCCGCTGCGCAAGTTCAAGCTGCGCGAGGTGCGCGACATGTGCGACGGCTTCTCGTCCAAGTGCCCCGTGCTGGGCGAGGGCTCCTTCGGCATGGTGTATCGCGGCAGCGCGGAGCTCGACGGGCGCGCGGTCGACGTGGCGGTGAAGCGGCTCAGCGCGGAGAGCCAGCAGGGCGTCGACGAGTGGCTGGTGCGTGCCGTGCGGGGGTGTCTGCAGGTTTGGGGATGCGTGCCGGTTGGGGGGTGACTTTTGAGTCGAGTCAGAAATTAAGCCGCTTGGATGGTGCGCACAGGTTCGGGGGGTGCGCACAGGCTTGGGGGATGCGCGCAAGCTTTGGGGGTGCGCGCAGGCTCTGGGACGTGCCCGCTTGTGGGGCACGCATACTTGGGAGGTGCGCGTACGTTTGGAGGTTCCATACAGGCTTGGGGGGTGTGTGCAGGCTTGGGGGGTGTGTGCAGGCTTGGGGGTTGTGTGGCAGTGGGTGGGGGTGCTTGCTGCTGCCTGCGGCCGTGCCTTTGCGTTGCCAGCGGGGTGAGCGAGGATGGAGGCTCGTGTATCGCCCGTCTTCTCTCCTCTCTTCCTCCCCTCGCCTCCCCCTCTCTCTCAAGCAAGGTGCACCCCGCATCCATCCATATCCTCTCCTCGCACCTCTGGCTCACTCCCTCCCACCCCCCTCCCACCCCCTCGCACCCCCTTCCCCTCACCTCCCTTCCCCTCCCCATTTTCACCCCCCTCTCTCTTCCCTTCCCCACCTCGTGCACCGCTGGGTGCCCGGCGCTGAGCAGGCGGAGGTGCTGATACTGGATCGGCTGCGGCATGCGAATCTCACCCTCTTCTCCTCCCCTCCCCATCTTCACCCCCGCCCTCTTCCTTCCCCCCCTCGTGCTCACCTGGGTGCGTGTGCCTGGCTGTGAGCAGGCGGAGGTGCTGATTTTGGATCGGCTGCGGCATGCGAATCTGGTGGAGCTGGTGGGGTATTGCAAGGAGAAGGGCGAGTGCCTGCTCGTCTACCACTACTACGCCAACGACAGCGTTGAATCCGCCCTCTTCAACCGTAAGCCGCTTTTCTGATTCCTTCCCTCCAATTCCTCTCTCTCCCAGCTTTTCTCTCAAGATCCAACAAACCCCCTCATTCGCCCTTCTCTCCCATAACCACCAGCCTCAGCCTCGCCAAGTAACGGGTCCTTCCACTCACCGTCATTCAACCTCCTGTCCACCCCATCCCTCTCTTTCCCCCCTCTCCGTTCCCCTCTCCCCACACCCCCCCTCCCCCCCCCCCCCCCCCCCCCCCCCCCCCCCCCCCCTCCCCCACCCGTCCTTCGCCACTTACCGTTTCCCCCACTCTTCTCCCTCCCCCGCCGTACACCCATCCCGCCGTCCTCTCCCCATCTCCCCCACTCTGTGCATGCGGGCAGGCAAGCGCGCGGGGCAGGAGCCATTCTCGTGGGAGCGGCGGGTGAGCGTGGCGTGGCAGGCGGCGGAGGCGCTGGCGTATCTGCACGCCAATGATGTCATCCACCGCGACTTCAAGCCTTCGAATGTTCTGCTTGATGCGGTGAGCGCACTGGGGGTTGGGTGGGGAAGGAGGGGGGGTTGAGGCGCTGGCGTATCTGCACGCCAACGACGTCATTCACCGCGACTTCAAGCCTTCCAACGTGCTGCTCGATGCGGTGAGCGCAAGGGGAGGGGTGGGAGGGAGATTCAGGCAAGCTGGCATGGTGCTGGGTGCTGCTGGGGTGAAGTTTGAGGCGCTGGCGTGCTGCTTGATGCCGTCAGTGCAAGAGGGGTGGAGAGGGGGGGGAGGAGAGGGGTATGGGCAGGGGAAGGTGGGGAGGAAGGCACTAGTGGGAAGGGTGCGCCTGGGTGACTGGTCGTGCATGGGAGGTATGTGATTGGGGAGGTTGCTGCTGTACAAGTAATTTGTCAGGCTGGGAGATTTGGCCAAAGTGGCAAGGTGGTGGGTGGGCGTGGAGCAAGCAAGGCTGCTCACCGTCCATGGCAGCGTGTGGTTGGGTTGACGGGGGGCATAGGGCGGGTGCCATGACCGTGACCGTGGGGGATGGGGAGACGAGCAGTAGGCCCCATTACACCTTCTCGTGGAGTGGAGTTTGGGGGAGACTTCACGCCTGCCCCGCATGATATCTCCTCCTTTTGCTCAAATCCGTCCCCTCCTGCCACTCCAGTGCTCTTGTCCACGCCACACCTCACTCACCACATCCCTTTCCCCTCCTCCCCAAATGCTTCTGGGTGGTGGCATTGGCGGCGGGGCTGGCAGGACTGGACGGCGAAGCTGAGCGACTTTGGGATGTGCAAGGAGCAGGAGGCGGGCAAGTCGCACGTGTCCACGCGGGTCATGGGAACTCTGGGGTACCTCGACCCTGACTACATGGAAACAGGTGCCTCCCTCACTCTCTCATGTGCCTCGCACACTCTCACATGCCTCGCACACTCTCACATGCCTCGCACACAACCAGATGCCACGCACAACCTCAGGTGCCACTCACAAGCTCAGGTGCCATTCACAAGCTCAGGTGCCATTCACACGCTCAGGTGCCATTCACACGCTCAGGTGCCATTCACACGCTCAGGTGCCATTCACACGCTCAGGTGCCATTCACACGCTCAGGTGCCATTCACACGCTCAGGTGCCATGTGCAAATCCAGGTGCCACGCACAAAACCAGGTGCTAGGGGCACAGATTGCGCGGTGAGTAGCTGACGGACACACAGTGATGCAGAAATGGCAGTGATGCTGACGGACACACAATTCTATCCACAGGTGCCCCTGTTTCCAGCACACCTGCATGAGCTCTTAGTCACCACCTTTTCCCCACTTACTCCCTTTCCCCCCTCACAACCCTTTTCTCTTCCCTCTGTCCCCCCCCCCCCCCCCCCCCTCCCCGACAGGGCTGCTGCGCCAGAGTTCAGACGTGTACGCCTTTGGGGTATTTCTGCTGGAGCTGATCACGGGCAAGCGCGCGGTCTCAGACACGGGGCAGCCGCTCACCAGCTGGGTGTTCCCGCTGCTGGACCAGAAGAAGCCCGAGATCGACCTGCTGATTGACTCGGCGCTGGAGAGCAGCTTTGACCGCGACAGCGCGCTCAAGATCGCCGTGATTGCCAAGTTCTGCATCGGGGAGGAGGAGCTGCGCCCCGAGATGACCGCCGTCGCTGAGAGGCTCAAGAAGCTCGTCGCCTCGTGACCAGGGCTGGGGGCTTGTGACCATGGCAAGGGGCTCGGGACCATGGCAGGGCTGGTGGCTCGGGACCATGGCAGGGCTGGTGGCTCGGGACCATGGCAGGGCTGGTGGCTCAGGACCAGGGCTGGGGGCTCGTGACCATGGCAGGGCTGATGGCTCATGACTAGGGCTGGTGGGTTTGTGACCATGGCTGAGGGCTTACCGTATGAGCAAAGCTGGTGGGCTCATTGCCATAGTGGTGGGCTTGTGACCATTAGCAAAGGATGAGATGGTGTGAGCTATTGGCACAGGTGGCACAGGTGGTAGAGTGGTGTTTGGTGGCGCTTCAGTAGTATAGCTATGTTGTAGGGCTGCCACCGAGTCAAGAAGCAGTTGAGTTTCACCACCCATGCGAGAAAATCCGCACATGTGAAGACAAAAATAGCTGAAGTATGATAGGTTAGGGTACATTCCAAATCAGTTATTTTCCGGTTGCGAATAAATACATGCAACCCGACCACCGCTGCGGACCTGATCCAACCGCTTGGACCGGAATGACGAGGAAGGAAACAATGTCGCGCCCATTTATGCAAGCCACCTGCAGATGAGAGGGTGGGTGGTTGTGTGTTACTGATACGGTATGTTATTCCGAGTCGCCTCGCCTCGCGCATATCTCTGGCGTCCGGACCCAATTTAAATTTCGTGGTTCTCTTCGGAGCTCCGTATGCCGCACACTTCGTTTTTTTTTCTCCTCCGTGAATTCACAGTTTCCTCCTCCTTCAGGCCGTGCCGTAGCGTGCTCGTGCCCTAGGCGTGTTTGTGCCCGTGGCTCGTCCCTGCGATCACCCCGCGCCGCTCGCCCCTTGCGACGATGCGACGAGAGGATTAGAGAAGAGGGAAATGGGAGGAGCCGCTGTGATAGGCGCGTTAGAGGCCGAACCTCTCTGCTGCAGTGCGCTTTGCAGTTTATTAGTGCACCGTAACTATAGCCGCCTTAACCTTGTAAATACCAATCCTCTCTCTCGCCACCTTTTATTAGACACCTCGCGGAACGTGCGCTCGTCGCGGTCGTCTGAAATTGGCGCGCAATTTGTACATATTTCCCTCTCAGGTGCCAGTCCGCTTTCGCGCCTCCGCCTCTCCGCCTTTCCGCCTCCCCGCTTCTCCGCCTCTGCACTTCTCCGCCACCCTCTCCGCCCTCCGCCCGCGCGCCATGGCGTTCCCGGAGCTGCTGGCGCGGCAGGCTTCCATCTATTCGCTCACGCTCGCTCGACGAATTCCAGGCGACGTTCGCAGGCCCGTCGCACGCCGTCGCATCCATGGCCATGGACGACTTCCTGCGATCCGTCTGGCTCGCCGAGGAGTCGCAAATGCTCGCCGCCGCGCACGCCGCCGGTGGCGCGGATCCGCGCGCGCGAGACAAGGCAGCGGGGCTGCTGCGCGCGCGCTCGCTGCGGCGGCAGAAGTCAGCCGCGGCGCTTCCGCGCGCGCTGACTGCGCGGACCGTGGAGGACGTGTGGAAGGATATTCAGGCGGAACTAGCGGGGGAGGGGGAAGCTGCGGAGGGGGGCGGAGCGTCGGCAGAAGGAGCGCGCGGAGGGGGGGAGGCGCAGCAGCAGCAAGCGCAGGGGCAGGGGCAGCAGCAGTAAACACGGCAATTGTCGTTTGCGGAAATTACACCGGAAGATTTTCTGGCGCGTGCAGGGATTTCCAAAAAAGAGCTTATAGGGGGGATAGAGGCTATAGGGGGAGAGCCGGGGGATGGGGAGGAGGCGAGTGGCGGAATTGGCAGCAGTGCGCGGAGAGAGGGGGAGGGCGGAGCCGGCGGGGGCGAGGGGGAAGGTGGAGGGGGGAAAGAAGGGGGGCAACTCACTGGAACGGACGGGCGGATGGGGAGCGTGGGGGCAAATGGCCGCAGTGCTGACGTGGCACATGATTCGAAAGCTACAATGGCGGCAACAGGGTGGGAACTCCACCCACATGCGGGGCCAGCAGGGCAGGCAGGCAGGACAAGCAGATGTGTCATTCCTGCAGCAGCACAAGAATCAGCTTCACTCGCAGCAGCAGCACGGGGGGCAGGGCGGAGGCGAGGGAGGGAGAGCGAGAGGAGGTGGGGGTGGGGGCGGAGAGGGAGGAAGGAGAGGGGAGCAGGCGATGCAGCAGCAGCAGCAGCAAGCGGTGGTTTAGATGGCAGCAGCAGCAGTGGCGGACGCAGGGCACAGCCACGTGGCATCTGTCTTCGCTGCCACACGCCACGCTGCCGCTGCTGCCGCTCACTGGGAGCGCTGGGGCCGCAAGGAGGGGGGTTGCTGGGGTCACTGGGAGTGCAGGGAGCAATGGGGGCAATGGGGTCGTTGGGAGCCCCCCTTGAGGGCTTGCCATGGGGATGGGCGTTGGCGGAGGCATGGGGATGGGTGGGGGGATGGCGCCAACTACGTATGGCGTGGGCGCAGGCATGGGCGCAGGCATGGGCGCAGGCATGGGCGCAGGCATGGGCGCAGGCATGGGCGCAGGCATGGGCGCAGGCATGGGCGCAGGCATGGGCGCAGGCATGGGCGCAGGCATGGGCGCAGGCATGGGTGCAGGGGGGCTGGGGGGACTTGCTGGGGCGGGCATGGTGGCGGCGGATGGGGTGGGGGGCGGGGGGGAGAGGTGGGGGGGCAGTGATGGCGGAGGGGGAGGGGGGCAATCGGATACAGGCGGGGGGAGTGGGGATGGAGACACCCTGAGCGGGGGCGTGGGGGGGAGTGCGGGGCGGAGGGGGAGGAAGCGGAGTGGGGAGGGGGGAGGGGCGCCGGTGGAGAGGAGGCAGAAGCGGATGATCAAGAATAGAGAGTCGGCCGCTCGGTCCCGTGCAAGGAAGCAGGTACGGTGAGGTGCAGTGAGGTGGGGTGTAGCGAGGAAGCTTTTAGGTTGATCAAGTACAGAGAGTTGGCTGCTCGGTGAACAGGTGAGGTAAGTTGCGGTGAGGGAGCGTTTTCTTATTGTGGTGTTTCGCTGCTCTGCCCCACTGAGTGAAGTCTCTTGAGACTGTGAGAGTAGGCAGAAGAGGATGAACAAGAACAGAGAGTCGGTTGCTCAGTTACGGGCGAAGAAACAGGTGAGGTGTGGTGTGGTGAGGTAAGGTGCGATGAGGTGCGGTGAGGTGAGGTGAGGAAGCGTTTTCTTATTGTCGTGTTTTGATTTTCTGCCACACTGCGTGAAGAATGAGAGTAAGGCAGAAGCAGATGATAACAGAGAGTTTGGTGCTCGGTTTTGGGGCAGGAGGGGTGCGGTGAGGGGAGGTGGGTGAGGTGAGGTGCGGTGAGGGGAGGTCGTCCGGTGAGAGCAGGAAGGTTGAGGGGTAAGGGCGAGTGGTGTCTGAGGTTGAGGGGTAAGGGCGAGTGGTGTCTGAGGTTGAGGTGTAAGGGCGAGTGGTGTCTGAGGTTGAGGTGTAAGGGCGAGTGGTGTCTGAGGTTGAGGTGTAAGGGCGAGTGGTGTCTGAGGTTGAGGTGTAAGGGCGAGTGGTGTCTGAGGTTGAGGTGTAAGGGCGAGTGGTGTCTGAGGTTGAGGGGTAAGGGCGAGTGGTGTCTGAGGTTGAGGGGTAAGGGCGAGTGGTGTCTGAGGTTGAGGGGTAAGGGCGAGTGGTGTCTGAGGTTGAGGGGTAAGGGCGAGTGGTGTCTGAGGTTGAGGGGTAAGGGCGAGTGGTGTCTGAGGTTGAGGGGTAAGGGCGAGTGGTGTCTGAGGTTGAGGGGTAAGGGCGAGTGGTGTCTGAGGTTGAGGGTAAGGGCGAGTGGTGTCTGAGGTTGAGGGGTAAGGGCGAGTGGTGTCTGAGGTTGAGGGGTAAGGGCGAGTGGTGTCTGAGGTTGAGGGGTAAGGGCGAGTGGTGTCTGAGGTTGAGGGGTAAGGGCGAGTGGTGTCTGAGGTTGAGGGGTAAGGGCGAGTGGTGTCTGAGGTTGAGGGGTAAGGGCGAGTGGTGTCTGAGGTTGAGGGGTAAGGGCGAGTGGTGTCTGAGGTTGAGGGGTAAGGGCGAGTGGTGTCTGAGGTTGAGGGGTAAGGGCGAGTGGTGTCTGAGGTTGAGGGGTAAGGGCGAGTGGTGTCTGAGGTTGAGGGGTAAGGGCGAGTGGTGTCTGAGGTTGAGGGGTAAGGGCGAGTGGTGTCTGAGGTTGAGGGGTAAGGGCGAGTGGTGTCTGAGGTTGAGGGGTAAGGGCGAGTGGTGTCTGAGGTTGAGGGGTAAGGGCGAGTGGTGTCTGAGGTTGAGGGGTAAGGGCGAGTGGTGTCTGAGGTTGAGGGGTAAGGGCGAGTGGTGTCTGAGGTTGAGGGGTAAGGGCGAGTGGTGTCTGAGGTTGAGGGGTAAGGGCGAGTGGTGTCTGAGGTTGAGGGGTAAGGGCGAGTGGTGTCTGCGGTTGAGGGGTAAGGGCGAGTGGTGTCTGAGGTTGAGGGGTAAGGGCGAGTGGTGTCTGCGGTTGAGGGGTAAGGGCGAGTGGTGTCTGAGGTTGAGGGGTAAGGGCGAGTGGTGTCTGAGGTTGAGGGGTAAGGGCGAGTGGTGTCTGCGGTTGAGGGGTAAGGGCGAGTGGTGTCTGAGGTTGAGGGGTAAGGGCGAGTGGTGTCTGAGGTTGAGGGGTAAGGGCGAGTGGTGTCTGAGGTTGCTCTCTCTCCTAACCACCACCCCCTTAGCTCACCTCACCCCCATGCCATGCTGCCCTTCCTTTCCCACCACCCCCGTAGCTCACCTCACCGCACCTCACCGCACCACACCACACCGCACCACAAAACATGGTGGAGGTGCTGTCCTCCTCCCCATACCCCTCACCCCCATGTTGCCTGCCCCCACTTCCCCCCTTCCCTTCAGGCGTGCACAGTGGAGTTGGAGGCGGAGGTGGCGCAGTTGAAGGAGGAGAACCCTCCCCCTCCCCCTCAGCCCCTTCCCCCTGTCACCACATGCCATGCTGCCCTCCCCACCCTTCAGGCGTACACAGTAGAGTTGGAGGCGGAGGTGGCGCAGTTGAAGGAGGAGTGTTATAGTCACAATAGGCTTGAATGTGCCTAAAACGAAAGATAGAGAGCACAGACGGATTTCTGCACAGCGGCTTCAAACGTTGATAGCGTTCTGCTCACAGCTGCAAATGACTTGATTCAAATTGGATCTGGAGCGTCTTTACGTCGTCTACAATTAGCAATTTAGATTGCACGATTTCATAAAGAATTGACGACACAGCGTCGGTTTGAACGAACGGTACTATGGCAGCCACTATAGTCTTAGAACACAAGATAGGAAGAGTTACGAGTTGGGAATGACTCCCAGCTCCTACAAACCCCAAGAGCCGAGGTACAGTGATGTGGAACAGTGCCACACTGTCCCCAACCACGAAGGGTCTCGAAACTACCCTCCACAAAGGCCTACACCAAGAGAAATGTTACACTACACAAAGTAATGCAACTATTCTCACTATCTTAAAGTTTACCGTTTTGGAGAGCTTCGAAATCACTTGATTCTTGAAACCAAGGCTCTGGTTCTTCAAGGTAAATTCTTCCTTGAGTTCTTGGAAGTCTGCTGCGCACACCTGCGACACGCCGAACGTTCCACACACGACAAAATAGAAAACCGCACACGACACGCAAACAACGACGTCGCACGCAACTAGCGATAACTCGCTATTGACTCGACACACACATTCAAAATCATGCCTCATCATTCACACACTATTGTAAGCATGAAATATATATTATTTCATGCCCTCATACCATTCCATGCACACACGCATGCACGCATACGGACAACAAGCCGTATGCAAACCGTAGGGTTGCACCAACAAACTCCCCCTCGGATTGTTGGCCTTAGGGTCTTGCTCTCTCAGTTCAGAGCCATCCCAGCCAGCTTGCAACACTTCCAATGCTGCTGCTCCACCAGCCTCTTGGTCATCATGTCAGCTGGCTGCCTTGTCGTCTTCACATAGTGCAACTCAACTTCACCCGCGGCCACCATGCTCCTCGTCCAATGCCACTTCACCCTCATGTGCTTGGTGAGGCCATGCAACACAGGGTTCTTAGCAAGAGCAATGGCACCCTGGCTGTCACAGTAGAGTGGGGTAGGTCCTTGCTGCTCCTCCCCCAATTCGGCCAACAAACGCCGTTGCCACACAATCTCCCGTACGGCACGGAAGAGTGCCATGTACTCGGACTCCACCGAGCTCAATGCTTGATCCACCTGCTTTTTGCTCTCCCAAGCAGTTGGGCCTCCACCAACACAGCAAATGAACCCTCCAACACTTGTCATGTCCTCTGGTTCCGATGCATAAGAAGCATCCGAGAATGCGGTGAGGAACAAACGCCCGGGTTCAACACCATCCGCGCCCTTTTGGCACCTTTGCGCCGCTGCCGAGTATTGCAGCCCAACGGTCGCTGTTTGGCCAAGATACTTGGCCACCCTCATTCCAGCAGCTACCTGCTCCTCATTAGGGCATTGAACAACCCTAGCCAACTGTCCGGTAGCAAATGCGACGTCCGGTCGGGTGTTTACCGCCGCGTACATGAGGCTGCCCACCAACGAGTGAAAACGGCGCCTCTCCTCTTCACCAACGCTCTCCTCCTCTGGTCCCTTCACACACTTGAACCCAGAGGGAAAGGGTGTAGCCACATGGCCTTCACTCTGCCCAAAGTTGGCAGCCAATGCCTCCAGGTACTTTCGTTGATGCACCCGCATGCACCGCTTCTCCACATCTCGTTCGATGTGGAGCCCAAGGTAGAAGCTCACGTCACCAAGGGCCTTGCACTTGAACTTGTCTTGAAGCTTCAGCATCACCTCCTTCACAAGGTCAGAAGAGGGTGAGAAAATGAGGATGTCATCCACATAAACCACCATGAAACTCCTCTGCTCCCCCTCGCCAAGCATGAACAAGGAATGATCGGCGGATGAAGGAGTGAAGCCTATCTCCTCCAAAACTCCTCGCAGTTTCAAGTACCACTGCCTAGGTGCCTGCTTCAGTCCATAAAGGGCCTTCTTCAGCCTCAGAACTCTGCCACTACCATCATCAAACCCCTCTGGCTGCGCCATAAAAATCTCTTCCTCAAGGACGCCGTTGAGGAATGCCGTGGTGACATCCATTTGTTTCACCTCCCATCCTTTGATGGCAGCTCCCGCGAGTAGGGTTCTCAGCGTCGTCGGCTTCACCACAGGAGCAAACAACTCCTTATAGTCCACCTTCTCCTTCTGCTGGTACCCCTTCGCCACAAGCCTAGACTTGTAGCGCTCGATCTTGCCGTCGGCGTCGGACTTGATCTTGAAGAGCCACTTGGACGTAATCGCCTTACGCCCCTCCGGTAGCTCCACCAATTCTCACGTGCCGTTCTCCTCAATGCTCTTCAGCTCACTCTCCATTGCCTTCTTCCACTTCTCAGCATCACTACTCTCCCAGACCTCCTTGAGAGTTGCTGGTTCCCCCGGCATCTCCACCGGAGAGAAGAACGCGAAGGCACACTCCTCGTAGTCACTCTCCTCGTCATCTCCAACTATGAGTGCCGCTCCGACCAAGGCTGACTTGGCTGGCTTTCCCAATGCCTCATAGGTCAGCCTATTAGGGGCTTGAATTCTCCTCTTGCCCCTTCCTTCCTCCTCAGCTGCAGGAACATGAAGGCCTTGGCGTTGCTGCGGGGTGACTCGGATCCGTGGAGCACTCGTAGTGCGAGAAGGAAGTGTCGGTGCACGCTCGCTCACTTGCTGCACCTCCTCCTCTTCTTCCTCCGCATCCTTGGCCTCCTCTCCCCCATTCACAAGGGAAGATTGCCTTGTGGTGGTGCTGCCGCTGCTCAGCTCCAAGGGCAGCTCCACATGCTCCAAACCGGAACTCTTCACCTCCCCAAACCGCATGCCTATCTTCGCCTCATTCTCCGCCTTCCAATCCTTGTACATCAGATTCTCCATGAATTTGCAGTCCCGCGACCGGCACTCTTCATACTTGCAGCACCACCTCCGCGACCGCCACGGCCTCCACGGCCTCTTCCTCTCCCTCCTCCTGCTCCTCTACCCTCTTGGCCTTGAGCAGGAGTCCATCCATCAGGGAGCTTGTAGCAATCGCGCCACATATGTCCGCTCTTGTGACAATAGTGGCACTCGCCGTCGAATCGGCCACGACCGCGTCCGTAGCTCTTGTTGTCGCTGCCGTATCCACCACTCCCGCGGCCTCCACTGAAGTTGTTGCTGCCAAATCTGCTTCCCCCTCGTCCTCTGCCCCTTCCACGGCCATACCCTCGGCCGATGCTTGCTGCCCCGGCGCCATCCGCACTCGCCAACTCACGGCGGCGGAAGTCCTCTTGAAGGATCGCTCGCTTCACGTCTTCAAGCGAGAGGCGGGGCAAGTCACGATTGAGGTTGATGATGAGCGAGGACCATGACTCTGGGAGTAAGGCCAGCAACTTGGTCTTCTTTTGGAGCTCACTGTAGCTCAAATCAGCTCCCTGAAGCCGCGTCAACAAGTCGAAGAATTTCTGCACCCCTTCTTCAACCGCTTCGTCTTCTTCAATTCGTAGTGCCGCCATTTGCCGTTCCAACACCACCGCTACCGCCGCTGTTGCAGGAGCATGTACACCCTTGAGAGCAGCCCATGCCTTTGGTCCCTTCTCTGGTTCACGCTGGAATGGCTTGATGTGACGAATCTGGCTGCTCCCCAACGCTTGCCCAAGTAGGAGATAGCCTTGTGCGCTCTTCCGCACCCACGGGCTCTTCTCCGGGTCGTTCTCGGGGCGCTTCTCCGTTCCTTCCATCACCTCCAGCAGGTCATAATGGTCAAAAATGTTCTCCATCTTGAAGGACCATTCAGCAAAGTTGTCGCCGTTGAACTTGTCAAGCCCAAACACCCTAGGCTCATCCCTAGGTGGGCCAAGACTTGGTTGCATGGGCGCCATGGCTGAATCACGGGGTTGGCCTTGAGCTTGAGCTTCTCCACTGCTACCAGCACCTCTGCCACCCCTTTCCTCAGGTCCATCCATTGTCGAAACTTCTCCAAGGGGCTCTGATACCACTTGTTATAGTCACAATAGGCTTGAATGTGCCTAAAACGAAAGATAGAGAGCACAGACGGATTTCTGCACAGCGGCTTCAAACGTTGATAGCGTTCTGCTCACAGCTGCAAATGACTTGATTCAAATTGGATCTGGAGCGTCTTTACGTCGTCTACAATTAGCAATTTAGATTGCACGATTTCATAAAGAATTGACGACACAGCGTCGGTTTGAACGAACGGTACTATGGCAGCCACTATAGTCTTAGAACACAAGATAGGAAGAGTTACGAGTTGGGAATGACTCCCAGCTCCTACAAACCCCAAGAGCCGAGGTACAGTGATGTGGAACAGTGCCACACTGTCCCCAACCACGAAGGGTCTCGAAACTACCCTCCACAAAGGCCTACACCAAGAGAAATGTTACACTACACAAAGTAATGCAACTATTCTCACTATCTTAAAGTTTACCGTTTTGGAGAGCTTCGAAATCACTTGATTCTTGAAACCAAGGCTCTGGTTCTTCAAGGTAAATTCTTCCTTGAGTTCTTGGAAGTCTGCTGCGCACACCTGCGACACGCCGAACGTTCCACACACGACAAAATAGAAAACCGCACACGACACGCAAACAACGACGTCGCACGCAACTAGCGATAACTCGCTATTGACTCGACACACACATTCAAAATCATGCCTCATCATTCACACACTATTGTAAGCATGAAATATAACCATTCCATGCACACACGCATGCACGCACACGGACAACAAGCCGTATGCAAACCGTAGGGTTGCACCAACAAGGAGAACCCTCCCCCTCCCC